AAGAGGCAGAAGTTACCTCCATGGCAGATAAGGAGAACCGACTGAACACTTCCTTCTGAGACAGACCCTTGGCTACCTCAATGTCCTTAGGAGTCCACACGCTCCTGTAGTATGCCATAGCGGTCTGACCATCCTTGAACATGATCTCGTTCGGCTTTACAGACGATCCATCTGTTCGAATGAAGCGAGGGTTCCATGGTGCCGTTCCAGAGGCAGAGGCATGCCCAGAAGGGGTAGGAAGCCTAGTCAGAGGAGGCCTGGTTAGAGGTTGCACGGACACATTCGGCCCAGAAGGCCTAACCCTCTGTGACAGATGAACGTCATCAAGGCTAAGAGCACTCTCAGGCTGATGCCTTTTTCCTCTCGTCTTTTCCCGTGCGGTAGCAGTAGCAGAGCTGGGAAGGTTGCTGACAGAGGGGGTCACGTTCGGATTAAAGGTCGTAGTGTTGGAGATCGAGTCGGTAGCCGTCACGTTCGGATTGGTGGAAGGAGTGGTATCATAAATAGTGGCAGAAGAAGATACTGAAACTAGAGAAGAAGTTGCTGTAGGGGCAACAACGGCCCTGGGGGCAGCCTTCCTCCTGCCAAAGGAAGGGATCTGGAGCTAACTCATTGTCTTGCCAAGGGCTGAGAGAGCAAGGAGGTTGTCTAAAGTAAGGAGATCCGAGCAGGAGGGAATGTTGGTCAGAACGTACTGCTTCAAGTAGTTATCCCTATCCCTGCACACACCGTAGCTCAAATCATCACAAGGAATGCCTAAGGAACGGTATAAGAAAGTACAAAGCGAGGAACGCAAATCTAGCAAGGACAGTCACTCTTATGGGTTTTGTATTTTTTATCTGAAGAGACAGAGCACTCTCCAAAAGCGCTCGGGATAGGGAAATCCTCTGCGACTGGAGAAAACCAGGCTCCCCTAACCCCAATTATATTTTTCCTCCAACCCTTCTCAGACTTGATTTTATCTTTGCAGATGGACCTCCTCAATTGGATAGAAGTGGTAAAACGGTTCATCAGTTCTTATCTTGCTAACCTTGTAACAGAGGAGAAGATCTACGAGGTCCAGATCTAGACCTCTGTCATGGTTCAGAAGCAACAAAACAGATAAAACCCTAAGGAAATTTGGGTTCACTTGCAAAGGGGAAAGTTTCAGTTTATTAAAAACATAATTAAAGAAGGGATGCAGAGGGAACCTAAGGAGGTTAAGATGAAGGTGGGAAAATAGAACCTCGCTGAAAAGAAGGCCGGCACCAGTTGTAATATTCACCTCTTTAGGGCAATTTCTAATTTCTATATCGTCAGGAAGATGAAGTCTCATGCGAAGAACATCTAGATCTATAGTCATGGTGAGAATGAATGAGGATTTTAAGGGAGAAAAAGAGGTCTTCCGAAAGAAAAAGGCGAACAAAACTAACCTCAGAGAGAGAAAACACCAAGGGTACTGCAAGGTCGCTGGAAAAAGGAGCTTTTGCAAGAGATCGCCGGAGAAGATTTGAACAACAGTAAAGCAATATGGAGACGGTAAAGAGAATCGATAGAACGTCTATGAGGCTTATAAAGACAAGGGGGGCCCGAAGGCCAAGGAGTCAGGAAAGCGAGGAGTTTTCTGAATCTCGAAGTACTGGCCCCCAAATCCGACCGTCCATTCTTTCATGCGATCTTCTCGAGCCGTCAAGTCATGATTAGCAGCCTCTAATAATTACCCCCTAATTAATAAGGAGTAATTATGGGGGCAATTGAGGATACAATAAGTGATATGGGCCGGTTATAGTCCGCGGACGTGGCATCGGGGCAAACAATTTAAATACAGCCCATGCAAGAGCACCACAGAATGGGCCGAGCTCGAAGGATCCATCGAAGAAGACCAAGCCCATTGGAAAGAAGGCCCAAAACTAATAGTCCAGCAGCATTTGTAATTGTCTATAAAAGGGCAATGAAGAGAGTAAAAACGGGATTCTGAATGGAGAATGTAATGAAACTCTACCCAAAGATAGAGAGAAAATTCTTTGCATCTTCAGTACCCAACAAGGAAAAAAAATAAAATAATAGTGGAGTAGTAATTGTATTAGGTTTCCTATTATTAGAGTTTTCTTACAGAGTAATTTCACATTCCTTGATCAAGGGATTGTTAGTAAAACTGTGGTCATACCAAAGGTGAAGGGGGATTCCCTTATAGTGAGTGTGATTTGATGAGAGAAAAATCCCAAGTGAACTTTTGTGTTTCTCTTGTTTAAGTGGGTTTTCACTGGGTATAGTGTCTAACTAAAAGAGTTCACTTTCACATTTTCTTTCTACTCCATTGCATTTTTTTGTCCATTATTGTTATAATGTATTTTTTAAGACATAAGAAGAATGTACTTATTATGGTGAAGTTCTTTTTTTTATCATTATTAGGGATGCAACCTGGTATGCCAACTTGACTCAACCCAATTTTTCACGAGTTTGCACAGCTATTTTTTCCAACTCTGGTCCGCCATGGATTTTATATATATATATATATATATATATATATATACTCAATCCAATTTGATTTGGGTAGGGCAGTGGCTGAAGTGATGAGCACCCGAACCTAACATAAATTAGGTAAACTGAATTAACCCCAATTCTAAGCCTTATATAAATTTATGTATATGTAATATCTATATATACCACGTCATGATAATAGTGTAAAGCTTTTTCTCACTAGTCAGCAAAGTGTTTAATTATGTGTTCTTGTAAGGGTAAATTACAAACCCTATGCACGGAAGTATAGCATAAGCAACGAGCCTTCCCTTTTGATGTAAAAATTACATTGACCTACCCTAAGGTTAGTACTTTGTAGAAGTTTCTTCCCTACATTAGCAGTAACAAAGTTAAATGAAAGAACCTGTTTAACTCAGCAAAATTAAATTATAAAATACCAAATTTGACCTTATCTATTCAATTTAACTATACTTTTCAACTAAAATGATCGGTAGGGGGGAAAATGTAAAAGTAGCACTTCCTCATAATGCCATTCATCATAAGTGTCTAGAATCTAGCAAGGGAGCTAGTGGAATTCCTGAATCAACCCCTTTTGTTTTAAAAATAATAATAAAAAATAGACAAAAAGGGTAAATTACAACCAAAACACATAGTTCAAACTTGGGTTAGAGAGCTCAGATTGAAGCTTGGGTTGGTTCATGCTTAGGTTAAAAGTTTCATACCTAAGGTTTAGCCTTTGTTAACGCCTCAACCCACCCCAAAATTGCACCCATTAAGTGGGTGAACCAAGTCAAGTCCTTGAGTTGTGTGCATTCTTGTTTAAACAGATATTTTGTGTCACCAATTAAACTAAATTGATATATTTAATCTTTTATTGTGCGTCATTATTGGTATTAGAGTTCAGGCTTAATTTTATACCAAATCAGATTAGAGCTTTCATTCTACATCTTTGCTTCAAGTCCCCCCATTTGCACTTGTCCCCTGATTGTTGTCTGCCTGTCTTTTCCAGACAAGAGGGATTGCATGTGAGGGAGAACATGAGATGTCAATATATGTTTCTAACCCATTTTCTAACATCTTAAACTTTTCGAACAAGTGGTTGTCTAACATGATATTTACAATCGGAAAGTCATAAACTTGAATCTCACTGCTTACCTATAGTTGCCTATAGTTGTAATACATGCACGCACGCCTGATGAGTGTCAATAACAGTTGTTATGATGCGCGATGACCGTTACTTAGCGTTGTAACCATTACACATAGTTATATTGGTACAATTTCAAATCACATATGTAACAGCTCATTACAGAACCATAGTGGCGCGTACTTCTGCTGCGATTTTCCACTCTTTTCATGTTTTCTCATTCTTCCAGGCGAACATCTTCCTCCTACCAGTGCAATGCACATAAACCTAAGATCTGGCCTCCAAAGCTTAAAAGAGAAGGGGGAAGACTAGAAGTTGAGTCAACAAATCTACCTAAGGTCGATGTTTTGATCAAATATCATAAATCAGATTCAAGTTCAAACTGATGGACCTTATTCAACCTTTTTTATTTTTTTCTTTTTCTTTTTTTTTTTGTAAATTGGATTACGGAATTGGGTAACATACCTTATTAAAGTAGGAATCATGTAGCCAACTTATAAGAGTCACATTTAAGGCTCAGGTAGTTTGATTGCTTAAAGACAAAGAAATCAACTTGTCCTTTTGATTCCAGGTTAAGAAAACCAAGGAAAGTCGCATACAAAGTATACTCACAGATAATGCCTTGTGCCATAACATAATAACAGTTGATCCTGTGCATCTGTAATTAGGATCAATTGTAGTGCACCTCATTGAGCCTTTCAGAAATTTAAAACCATTCTTAACCAAAATTGGTCCAAATTCCAATGCATTCACAATTTGTTAGCAAGAAAAAATAGTTAGAGTGGTATACTTCACTAAACAGATTACTGAATGTATCTCCTCATTTAAGGCAAAGAATTTATTCCAAGTTAGAAATATCACTATTTCTAGAAGGGCACATCATAATACCATTATCAATTACTGTGATACGACTACAAATAACTGCAATAAAACGCTATAAGAGGCACCTACAACAAAAAGGATGCTACAAGAGGCTGAAACAACAGCTCATTGTACCAACACCGTTCCAGCAAAAACAAACTTCTGGGGCAACTCTTTAAACTGCCCCAATTCCTAATTAAAATGAGTTACCATTACTGTTCCAGAAATTTTGTTCAGGATTTCCCTCAATCATACTATTACAGATTTTACCAGATTCTCGGATTCCGGGTTAAATTTCCAGCCAAAATCTTACTCAAACTCTTTAGTAATTAAAATTTTGTCAAGAGTTCAAATTAACCTCATTTCAACCCATTACCTAAATTTTCTTAAGGCATCATCTATGTTCTCCAATCTGCAATAAATTCAATCCTACATGGATTTATATTTTAAATAAATACAATTCCTCAGCTAAACAATTGCCATTCAATGGTAAAACTAAACAAAGTTAGAAATCAATTTGTTCATTGGCACATACCCATTCTTTGAAGTACTGCTTTCGCCAAAACCCGGTATCAAATCATCGAATTCAGTTGCATTCTTCTCCACTTCCCCGGATTTCCTTCCTGAACCATTCGATTCGAACCCCGTTCCACCCAAATTCCCAAACAAGTCATCAATTGGAGAACTCTCCCTGGGTGGTGATGAGATCGATCCAAATACATCGTCATAGTTCACCGAAGCCGAACTCTTCGAACCGCTCATTCCACCAAATATATCGTCATCGTCATCAAACACATTCGAAGCTGAAGATTTTGGATTCGAATTACTCGAACCCTGAAACATAGAATCAAAATCGAATATCGAAGAACCATCACCGCCATTGCTGCGATTCGATGGCTTCGAGTTCTTCACAGGTCCACCAAATACATCATCATAACCATCCCAATCATCGTAACTCTGACTTTTCACATTAGTATTGGATCGAAAACTTCCGTCGAAATCATCAACGAAGGACCCATTACCAGAATTCGAATTGTAAGTTGACCTGGACGGGTTTGTTGACGAGGGTTCGGAGTCAAAACCCAAATTCATTCCGAAATTTCGAGAAACACCGTTGTTGATGTTTGTCTTGCCCTTTAGATCGGCCATTGGAGTCGATTTTCCTTGTGCCTTGAACCCAATACTTTCCACCAAAACACCAAACTGGTCCATTGATGTGTGTTCGAATTTTGAGAGAAGATGATTGTGTTGATTGAGCTAGAAACAGAGGAATTTAGAAGGAATATGGAAGATAACGAATTTGTTGGATATATAGATATAAATATGTATCTACGTATATGATTATATGATATACTATGGTCTGTTGAAGAGAAAAGAGCGGCAATTGAGTGATGAAGGAAAGAGAAGCGAGGAAGGCGATTCACCGACAAAAATGATCAACTCTCTCTTTCCTCTCCTACTCTCGCTCTATTCTCTCTCTAGAACTTAAAATTTTCTCTCTCTAGAACTGTACGTGTGTGTTCGCGGAAGGTGACTTGTACGAAAAAACCCCCTAGTGGTGGGCCACTCTGTGCTACAAATCTCAATTCTCAAGTTGCACATATTAAATGCTTGCGTTGACGGCTTCTAACGACCGAAGAGAGAATTTTAACGTTTTAATATTAGATCGTATAATTATATAAGTTTAAAATGCATTAAACCCCCCTTAACTTTACCTAAATAAGCATAAAACCCTCCTGAATTTCTAAATGAGCAAAAAAAACCCCAAACTATAGTGTTTGGTTGCAGATCACCCCACTCCGGTAGATTATGACCGGCAAAAACAGCACATGTTATCACGTGATGGGAATTGTAAAATTAAAGGACCATATTGCCCTTGTCCACATGAAAGGACTATAATGCCCCTTTGTCACCATTACACCAAAAATTCATTTTTGATCATCTCAAGCTAGTGAATTGTAACCCAACTTTAGAGAGTTTCATCTTACAAACCAAATCCAAACCGAGCAGAGCATCATCATCCAAAATAAATCGAAAAAATAACCCAAATCAGCATAGAACTTTAACATCTAGCAACTTCGGTGACCTGGACACAAGGAAAAACTTATGGTTCTCTCTCTATATTATATCTAGATTATATATATATATATATATATATACACACTGCCAGGGCCAACCACCTATATTTTTTAGTTATTCAACGGCGGCAAAGTACGGATCAATTTAGGGTTAGAACCCTATCACAAAGGGTATTCGTAAAAGATCCTTATTCCCCTTGTAGAAGCTCGTATCTAACCTCAGCAAATTCCCACTCCGATTCCCCAACGAAGCTGAAATTGGATCAAATAGTCTATTATTGGAGACGTTGAAGATGAAGAGGCGGATGAGGAGGCCCCGCTGCTGGGGGATTTGACTAGTGTGCAAATTGTCGCCTCTACACCACTGCTACCCATCTCTGCAAACCCATAACCACCGCCACCACCCATCACCCCATTCCAAATCCGTAACCAAATAACACATCAAACCCATAACCACCGATCCACCACCACCTTCAACCAAAACCATCACCGCTTTCCACCCAAAACTTCCACAGTCACCATTCTGCCCAACCAATCCACCCTAGCCGAAAAAATGAAATTGATCATGGCTTTTCCAAATTTCCCCAAATCATATTCAACCAAAAATAAAAAAGAAAAAAAAAAATCCCCAAATCATGAACTCTGCAACTGGTATGGTTTTTTACTGCCGTCAAACCCAGAAACGGCGCCGACGAGGACAGAGGACAGCGGCACAAGGAGTTACTGGTGAGGCAATGAGAACGCGTTGGGTGTGGCACAAGGAGTTACGGGAGACCATCACCGTCTGCGCCGTCGACAACATTGGGATGTCAGATCTGCTCTTGTCGTCTGCCGCTGTGAAGAGGTCGGATGTGAAGAGGTCATCCAGTGAGGACTCGGCCGTGATGATCCATCTCCGCCGCTTAGGTCTCTGTCGCCTTTTCTTCTGTTCTTCGCAGGACACGTGGGACATGTTGGTGATCTGGAACACCGACGAGGACGACGGCTACTTGTCGTCGGTGTCGCCGGTCAACCACGACATGAACGAGGTGGTGCCATAAATGGCTAGCGAAATCGATGTGCTCCTATATATTATAATACACACACACAGAGAGAAATAGAGAGAGGGAGATAGAAACAATGTAGTTTTGAATAAGGGTAAAATTGTCTTTTATCTTTTCCGGTGGCTTGAGTGGGCAAATTGCAAAAAAGTGAAAGTTCAGGTGGGTTAGTTGCAAAACCCCCATAATTCAGGGAGGTTTAATGCACTTTACCCATTATATAATTATTTAGAGAATTCTAATGTTTTTATAGTGTATATATTAATTTTTTATTTTTAATATTAGTATCATATAATTATATAATTATTTAGAGAATTCTAACATTTTTATCGTGTATATATTAATTTTTTTATTTTATGGAGTAGTTAATATTAGACTTTGTCGACATTAATATATTTTAGATATTAACAACTGAAATGAGACATTTTTAATATTTAAAAAGTTAAATGATTTTTTTCATAGATTTTCTAATTCAATAATTAATAATAAAAGTTCATAGTTCTTTTTATATATGAAAGTATTGTTTTGATAGTTTTAGGATCAATAAAACTGAATATTAATAATTGAATTTTAAGTGCTTTAATTTAAGTGCTAATTATAAATTAAATTTTTTGTTGAATATTTTTTGAATCTAATGTGTTTTCTCTATCACTTAATTTTTATTTTTATGTTTTAAGTGGTACTTATTCTTTTAAGAGATTTAATTTATTGTGTTGTCAAATGCATTTAATTAAGTGTATAATATTTCAAAATTAAGAACAACTTTAAACAACTAATTCAAATTTTAAAGCATTAATTCCATATTACAAAATGTTCCATGTTACGAAATATAGCATGAGAATTATGAATTTGTTGGAATGCACTTTCACCTGGATTGATTTTATTCATTAAGTAAGATAAAGGGTCAACTTTACAAAATATGACTTCAAAATAAGATTAGTATACCATACATATCATGAAATAATATATAAATACAATCAAATCTAAAGTTGACTTTTTATCTTACTAAATGAAATGTTTAAACTACCATTATTCTAAAGTTTACTTTGTATCTTTCTAAATGTAATGTCTAAATAACCATTTCTTCTCTAAATTTAGAAGAGGAGTGCTGGGGCAGTTTGGCTAATATTTCTATCGTCGCTCTCCTTATTCATCACAATTTCTGTTTATTTATGAAATGTCTCGTATGTTTATGGAAATTAAAAAGTATACGCTTTTAAGACAAAGTTATCTCTTTAATCCTCTCTTCTTTTATTTATCACATTTTTTTATAATTACACATTCATTTATGAAATGCTTCATACCTTTATGAAAATTAAAAATATAAGCTTTTAAAACAAAATTACCCCTTTAACCCTTTCTTTTCCCTCAATTCATCGCACATGCGCATAGCATAATAGTAATTTTTTTTTTTTTTTCCCTTCTCACTTCAGTGATGTACATGTATATATATAATATGGGTAAAAGTGCAAACAACCTTCCTGAACTATCACAAATCAACAATTTATCCTCCTAGACTTCAAAAATAAACAAGTTAGTACCACAACTATCCAAATCGTGCATATTAATCCCTGAAATGCAATTCCGGCCACTTTTCGACCCACGTGACCTATCATTTTCTTTTAATTCTAAATTGCCCTCACTTATAAATAAACCCATTTCGTCCTTATGTCAATTTATACATTTGTATTGTTATATATAGATATATGTATTTATTTTATAATACTCATTTGACTCATAAAATTACTGAATTCCAATAATGGTTGACAGAAACTACCAAAGGCAGAGGTTACACATATATAGCAATTTATAAAAATTGCATGCTAATTCATGTATTGTTTTATTCTAAAAATAATTTTCAAATATTAAAAATTGCATGCTAATTGTTGGCTTTATTTTTTTAAGCAAGCTAATTGTTGGCTTGAATGATATTTGAATAGTACTGTAATTAGAAAGTCATATGTATATTGCTTACATTAACTTCAATAAGAAATTCTCAAATCAATTTATCAAAGTAATGTCAATTTAATCAAATTTAATTACAACACAATTAAAATGGCATTTTCTAAGACCCCTTAAAATTAGCATAGAAATTAGATTTTGTAAAATTTGAAATTATAAATTAGCCAAGTTAATTTTTTGAAGTAGTTTATATACATACATCAATATAGTAGTGTGTGTGTGTGTATTCAATTAAACCTGAGTGGAAGAGAAGAAAAGAACATTTAACTAAAACAATACTTCCAATCAAAAGTTCATGTTTGGAGATCAAATCCTTTTTTTTAAGTTGTAGTCTAAAACAGGCAAACAACTTCAACTTCTAAAATCCAACCAAAATAAATAAATAAATAAACATATATATATATATATATATATATATATATAATTCAACTTCTAAAATCCAACCAAAATAAATAAATAAATATATAAAATTGCCATTTACAATATCAGAGACAATTTGAAAAACGGAGAATCAAAAATTGATGCGGCCATGAGCGAGTTCGTTACAGTAAAGCAAAAATTGTAACTGAGATCGAGGGTTCGTAAAGCACAAAGCTGACCTAGGGTCGCCAGAACCTCGCTGGAGATGAAATTCTTGCGGACGGCAAGAACTTGTAGGTTATTCATCTGAGATAATGTTCAGGGCGAGCATCGATGATCCGATCCGGGATGACGATGAACTCGGCTAGAGCAGCGAATATGCCTTTGGGTCACCGAGCTTCAAAGCAATTATCCTGTCGCTGTCGCAATACATGTCGACAAAGTCGATCGTATGGCTTCGCTGTGAAATCCCACATGGAGAAGAAGTCAGATCTCGGCATGTCTTTCAAGGTAGAGGTGGAGCAGATTAGAGTATTGCAATATATATATATATATATATATATATATATATTAACCTGAGAGAGAGAGCATGATGACGAAATGGGTTATTTTATAAGTAAGGATAATTTTGGAATTAAAAGAAAATGACAGGTCACGTGAACCGGAAAGTGGCCAGAATCGCATTTCAGATTTGGATAGTTGTGGTACTGACTGACTTGTTCATTTTTGTAGTCCAGGGAGATAAATTGCCGATTTGTGATAGTTCAGGGGGTTATTTGTACTTTTGCCTATAATATGTAATATGTTCATATAAGTATAAGTTTCTTATTTTTATTTTTTTTCTCTCCTAACTTAATCAATATATACACGCACACACATATATATCCTAATTAAACCAATCTCTTGCTAATTAAACCATTCTCTCAAATGTGAATCACGTATATTTTATTTTAAATATAATTAAAAAAAAAAAATCATTCCCATAATGTTACTTGCTTTAGAAATTAAAAGAAAATAATGTATTCCTATATATATATATATTTGCAATTTAGACGAATAACATTGCAAACTCGTACAAAAATAAATAAGATGAGTTAATCATCTTCCCTTCTCTCACCTCATCCCATTTAGAAGGAAGTCACTTAGGTTTTGTCTATTGCCACATGGTGCTTGTTAATTACTTATGAAGCACGGACACGTGTTATAGGGCTGACGTACAGGTGTCGGACACGTGTCCAACACGGACACTCGTGTCCCAGCCTCGAACACGTGTCCGACACGGATCTACCAGTGTCATATTTTTTTATTCATTTTTTTAAGTCAAACACGCCGGAGGACACGGCCGAGACACGCCGGAGGACACCGTAGGACACGGCCGTTTAGATTAATAAAAAAAATGAAAGGGATGAGAGAGAAACTGGAAGGGAGAAGGGAAATCAACAAAGAGATGACGAAGAATCATGCTTTGGTTGGTTATTGATGGAGGAGAAGGAAGATAGAAAGTTAAGAGAAGAAGGAGATGGCGTCCGGCAAGAATTCCGATTCTACTAAAGTCTCTTTCGTCTGGTTGCGAACAGATCTCAACCAAAGGCTTGATTGCCTTTTTCTTCCTCTGTCAGTGAGTGGTTATTGGTTAATAAAAGAGGAATTCAATTTTGAAAAGAGGGAGAGAGAGAGAGATAGTCAAACTTGGAAATACCAAACTTGTAATCTTATCTTCTGTGTTTGGTTACAAAGTTAATCTTATCTTCTGTTGTGTTTGGTTACAAAGTTAAAACTATTCTAGTATTGATACAAATTCTAGTATTGGATATAAAGATATACTACGTATTTATTGTTTGAATTTTAATAAAATTTGGATTGGGTTTAATTTAAATAGATCATGTTTATTAACGTAAATTAAAAATTAAGAGAAATTAAAATTTTATATATAATAAAAATATATATTATTATTTTATTGCCTTATCCTTGCCGTGTTCGTATCCTATTTTTTTGAAATTTGTCGTATCGCTGTGTCCGTATCGTATCGTACCCGTGTCCCGTGTTAGTGTCCGTGTCCGCGCTTCACGGTTAATTACAAGGTAAAGTATAATATTTCTTCTTAGATTTGGATAAAATGACACATGGTTCAGTTTGTCCTTTATTTGACTTTTCATTCAAGAATGAAAAGTTAGAAATATTCTTAATATTTTAATTCTTTTTATGCGCAATTATTTTTTATTTAATATTATTAAAAAATACTCTCACTCAAAAGAAGGACAACACGGTCATTTTATAAAATAAAAAAATTGAAGAAACTGATGTTATTAAGCATGTTTGGGCCAAATTTCAAAATAGGTCAAAATAATAAATTTCAAATTTTAAAATAGGTCAAAATAATAAACTTCAAATTTCAAGATAGGTAAAAAATCAATATAATTTATCCCAATTACATTGAATAAAAGTGCATTTACTTACTTGTAAAATTATGATACAATGATGTAATAATTACTCACTGTCTACTCTCATTAATAAATAATTATGTATATAAAATAACATAATTGGGTGGTGGACCCGGTGGGTGGTCCTACCATCACAGCTATGGTGCCATCCAACAAACAAAGAACTAAAGTAACTAGCATCTGCAGCTCAAAACAGGTTGTCCATTTTAGTAATGGTAAGAGTCACAATTTTCACGATGGTTTCATGATTTTTCTATTCGCTCACAGGTCACTTAATTAAAGCCCAAACCTTTCCCTTCTTAGTAATATAACATTATACACTTGCTTTTTGACCGACCACCAACAGATATAAAATGTAAGAAACATGTTCAAACCAGAACACTTAAAACGTGTATTTTGACTACAGCAGCCAACTTTGAGAGTTCAAACAACCCAAAATCAACATTATAAAACAACACAAACATGTCTTCACACCATTTTGTTTTGGCCAAAAACAGAGCACGCTAATATGGGCAAGTCCCATCATTTTTCCTCTTCCATTCTCTTCTTCCTCTTATTTCCTTTCCTTTCCTCCATTGATTCTGTCACTTCCTCATGTCCCATTGATTTCAGCTATGTCAAATCCTTCGAATGGGACACCACTCTCTGCCGCGAACCGGTGGACGCAAACTGTTGCCAGACACTTCGCAGCCTGTTTGGGATTGGACTCGCGCACCACCTCAACCAAACATCCATGTTCTATCTCCCCAACGCAGAGACTTCAACTTCATGCCTCTCCGACTTCCAAACCAAGCTCACCGCGGTCTCATTATCACCCTCGTTAGTCCCTCAGTGCTTGAACAATTCAGATGATTTCGTTGCCAAGGCCTCCAACTGTGCCGGGATTGCCACCATCCAAGATTGGATCGAAAAGACTGGTTCGTCAAGTAATTCCTTGAATCCATCTTGTAATGGGGACTTAACCGGACTCACCCGGTGCAGCTCTTGCCTTGATGCTGGCATGAAGGTGACTTCTCAGCTTGTGGCTTTGGATCCCAATGCCACTAAATGCTTCTACTACACTATTTTATATGCTGCTGGTGTTGTAAATGACTTTGGTCCTGAAGACACCAGAACAGCTAATTGCATACTAGGCTTGCCGTTGGCTATCTCAACAACCAACAAAACATCAAACCATTTGAGCAAAACAACACTACTCAAATGGGTTTTCGGGTTCTTGGGAGCTCTTATAGGGGTTGTAGCAGCGGCAGGGGTGATCATTCTTTACAGAATTCGGGATAAGAAGAAGAAGCAAGAGGCTTTCCACGAAGAATATGTGACCGGTGTGAAGGCCCGGGTTTTGCCCAACTCGGGTGCAAAATGGTTCTGTGAGGCTGATCTCGAGGAAGCCACGAATGGGTTTTCGCAGAGGAACTTGATTGGGCAGGGAGGAAATGGGATCGTGTACAAAGGGACGCTCACGGATGGCACTGTGGTCGCGGTGAAAGCCATGCTTGATCTGGACTCGAAAGGGGATGATGAATTCGCGAATGAGGTGGAGATCATAAGCAAAATAAGGCACAGGAATCTCCTCTCCCTCCGGGGCTGTTGTGTCTCGAGCGATGCTTCCAGAGGTAAAAGAAGATACCTTGTTTATGACTTCATGTCAAATGGTAGCCTCGATGATCATCTCTTCAAACACGAATCCAAAAAACAATCCATGACTTGGCCTCAGAGAAAGAAAATAATGCTTGATGTCGCGAAAGGGCTTGCTTACTTGCATTATGGACTCAAACCAGCCATTTATCACCGCGACATCAAGGCCACCAACATCCTTCTGGACTCGGAAATGAAAGCAAGAGTGGCAGATTTCGGGCTGGCCAAGCAGAGCACAGAAGGCCAGTCTCATCTCACGACAAGGGTTGCCGGGACATATGGATATCTAGCGCCAGAATATGCTCTGTACGGTCAACTAACAGAGAAAAGCGACGTTTATAGCTTTGGAATTGTGATTCTTGAAGTCATGAGCGGAAGGAAAGTGCTAGATGCATCAAATTCATCGACCCTTCTGATCACGGATTGGGCTTGGGGGCTTGTGAAATCGGGAAATGTGGAGGAGTTCTTTGATGAATTAATCAGAGAGGAAGGACCGAGAGGGGTGATGGAGAGGTTTGTGCATGTTGGGATACTCTGTGCTCATGTGATGGTGGCTCTTAGGCCTACCATTGCTGATGCCCTTAGGATGCTTGAAGGTGACATTGACATCCCAAAATTACCAGACAGGCCGTTGCCTCTCAGTCATGAGTCATTTAGATCTTCTTTGCAGTATAGTATGTCTATGAGTGAGAGATCAAGAGCCAGCTCAAGCATTATTAGCATATAAATTAAATCTGTGGACCCTTTGATCTAAGAATACCCATGCCAGAACTTCAAAATGGCTGTTTTTTTTTTTTTTCGGACACAAGTTAGATCTGTATGTAATTATACACAGTAATACACGATACATCAAAATAGGATGTAATACTAGAATGAATATTGAAACTTTTCTGCATTTCAAGATTGCAAATTTGTTGCAAAATGTCTCTATGACCCCCTTTTTTAATTTATTTTTTATTTTTTACTTTTGATATTATTTGAGTTTATTGCAGTCAGTGCAATGATAGAGAAACTTGACTGCAAAAAAAACATAAAAAAAAAAAAAAAATTGGTTCGACATGAGTGGTCTACCTGCATGTTAAAATATGGTTTATCATAGCCTCTAATCATCCTCCTCATTTATGTGCCGATCAGTTGGAACTAATCATTCTTTGTACTCATAATTTAGTGCAGGAAATATCAGTTAAGACTATTGGAAAGGACCCTTTTGACAATATGTGATGAATGTTTGTAAAAGTAATAATTATATACGATTTGGTTGGAATTTATGCTTCATTGAGTAAAAAAAGGGAATGGATCACATTAGTTCCACTGGAAAAGGAAATGACAGTATTGACCCCTTTGCATGTTTAGATTTCGCCTTAATGAGTTTAGTTGAATTAAGGGACGGCCCTGGCCCAAGGCGGTCGCCTTGGGCCTCAGATTTTAGAGGGCCTCAAATTTTGAGGCCCATAGGGTATGGAGAAAGAAAATAAAAATAAAAAAAGAGTTAGGGCAAGTCTCAAATTTAAGTTTGGGCAAGTTTTTCAGACGACACAATCTGCTTCGACAGTCCGCAGGACGCAGCCTCCGCCATCCCCTCAGGCTCAGGTGACACCGTGACGAGGTATGTTCATCCCCTCTCTCTCTCTCTTCTCTCTCTGATTTTGCATGAATCGATGTTTTTGTTTTCCTCTCCCTAAGTCCACTCCAGTCTCACAACAGCAGCAACCATACCCCTTTTCCTCATAATTTTTTGCATTTTCACATCCAATCCTACGAAAATTAAGGATCCCTTCTAGTGGGTTGAGGACCTGAGGTAATAATTAACTTTTTCGATCTCTAAGTTATGCTCATACTTAAAAGTGCCAAAGTAAGGGTTTTATTTTATTTTATTTTATTTATATATGAAGATACATACCACCATTATTGATGTTATTTGAAGTTGGCTCCCACCATTATTGATGTTATTTGAAGTTGGATCCGCTAGAATTTCAGTTAATAATACTGTCAAAGCACTTGCCATCAGAATGTACAAACATTTACTTTGATATAAAGTTGAATTTTGATTTTTGTGACTAAGTTGTGTTGAATATTTCCTTTTAATTTTTTGATGTAAACTGGATCATACTCTTTTTAAAGCACCAAGACCGGGTTTTCTTTTGTGTGTTTTCAACATTAATATATTTTATGTTCTTGTCATCTCATATTATTGAAAATTCGGCATTCTTATAAATTTTTTGTGCCTGTGAAAATTTCGCACTCTTTAATTGATAGATTTATTGTTATTAGTTACCTGTCTTATGCACATTGCATAGACGCACAATTATTTATTGGTGGTGATAGATTTATAGTTATTAATTAGTTATCTCATGCAAACTGCACATGTGCACAATTATTTATTGGTGGTGATAAAAATTTATAGTTATTAGTTAGTTCTCTTAAGCACACTGCAGAGGCGCACAATTATTTATTAGTTAGTTGTCATAAGCACACTATACAGGCGCACAATTATTTGTTGGTACTGATAAATTTATAGTTATTAGTTAGTTGTCTTATGCATAATGCATAAGCGCACTAAGAATGATTGAAATTAACATAAAACGGATGGAGAACAACAAGATCGGGTCCGGAGTACCTTCTCTCTCATAGACCTTTTCCTAGTTTAAGATACCAAATATGAATTTGAGACTGATTGAAATTAGAATGTAAGTTTTACAAAACTAAGAATATGATGATTAGATTGTAAAGTAGATCAAAAGCTGGAAAATATCAAAAAGAGAACAAATTCGTTATTGTTCACAAACATAGTAAACATTAAACTAAAGATCTTAATAGTAAGTTATATATCTGATTTTTAACGAAAGTCCTCTTATATATTGACCCTCTCTAAAATTTTGTTGGTATATATCTGTTTGTTCCTAAACAACAAATTTTTTTTGTAAACTCAACATAATAGAACAGGGTTAAAGGAGAACAAAGAAACCTCAATATCCAAGAGTCTTAAAATCTAAAAAATTCAGTGATCCGTGATTAAAACTATGAGGAAGAAAATATCAAACAACATAAGAGACAAGAACCACCACCTATATATATATATATATATATATAGAGAGAGAGAGAGAGAGAGAGAGAGAGAGAGAGAGAGAGAGAGAGAGTGTAAAATACCAATTACAAATTGCCTCGTATTCAGTAATTAGTATTCTCAAGTTCGTGAACAAATTGTTTCTGAAACCAGAATATAACGAAAAAAAAGGAAACTATAAAACCACACTTCCGACAGAAGGAGCTAAGCCAAAAATCCCAAGTTTGTACATCAAATTCAGCAATAAGCATTCACATTTAGGACCTAGTTCTTACATTTTTTCTAACAATATATGAGTATTACATCTGAATCTACAGATTTACAGAGAAAACCTTATAATCAAGTAAACTTCGCTCATCAATTAGAAGTTCGAAGAATTGGTAGGCTCTAGTTGAGGACATCATCTGCAACATTAGGATTCTTGATCCTCAGTGGAGAATTGCCTGAACAATCTGATGAATGAATTATTTTTATGGTAATCAATTATTTTACAACTATATACTTCTGAATCCTCAGTTTGACTTAATTATGCGAAAGTACAATGCTAGACATACTCTTTGAAAGCCTAAATGTAGTAAGCTTTGGGTTTGTTAAAGAAGTTGAGAGAGTGAGACATGGTAAAAAATCTCAATGAATTGAACCAGTTCGATAAATTTTAACAGCATTTTTTACAAGTGTAGTAAACAATCAATGACTTAATTGGGGTCTGTTGTGTGTGGGAACAAATCTTTTGTCAAGATGGTATGAAATATAGATGGATGTTGCAGACTAAATTCAATTGTAACTTTAAGCAGGAAGAAAATCCTTCAACTTTTTCCATGAAGTCTCATGGAATAGAGATGAAGGTATTCACTAACTTATTAAACATAGATGGAGTTGAAAATCATTTCAACTAAATGTGCTTTAAAAATAATCATTAACTCCTTATGTTTAGAAAGAAAAAGAAAAGATGGACGCTTTAGTGGCCACTCCTTCATGATGCTTGTACATAAGCTTTCAAACTCTTGATAAATATATATATATATATATATATATATATATATATATATATATATTGTTTTTTTTTTCCATGCAAAGGTCCTAGTATTTTCGTTTTCCTTATTAAGGTAGGCCAACATGATTTGGGCATTGTTAGTTGCTGTGAGGTTATGAATGTTGTTTGGGTCATTAATTTTTTATTTTAAGTACTGGTGAAATGTTAATGTAGAAAGCTACATTCTTTTTAATTAAATTAGCCTTCATGTATCCTTCTTAAATTTTTTTATAGTGGAGATATTTGTTTCTCATTTCTTGTGTGATCCCTTGGAAGACACATTCTCTTTCTTCTTTTTCTACTTCTTTTTTTTCTTTTATAGTTTCAGTTATTCCCTGAATCCTAGCAAACCAATTTTTCAGCACCTCATATTAAAAATATTTTTAATTAAATTAGCCTCCACATATCCTCTCTTATAATGCTTGTTTTGCTTGGTTTAATTTTGGCAACTTAACAACTTGCTTTACATTCTCTTACTTCAACTATTACATCTTTGTAGGTCAAAGCTAAAATAGAGCAAGAAGATGTGGAGAATTTTTGTTTTATTTTGGTTAAGTAAAGATATAAGGTGTGGATCACTAGTACTGGTTTGTATTTTTGTTTTATTTTGTCATTTTAAATTGTTCAAATAAAATTTTGTCATTTTAAATACAAACTAGTACTAATGTTTCATTTTAACGTCTGCCAGATGGAAGCAATTTGGTTTGTTTTTGCACTCACTCTCTCTGCCCATTTGGTTCTCTCTCTACCATTCAATGTGTCACCTGCCATTCAACTTATCCTAGAAGTAACACAATTGTTGTCCGAAGCCTCAAATTCCGGCGAATACGTTGAAAGAGCCATTGTGGAACCTGGCCATTCCGGCGAATACGGTGATATGATTTCACTTGTTTCCCAGCTCAAAGCCTCGTCATTTTCCTACTGTCTTGTGGACCGTGACTCCACCTTGTCATCTACTCTCGATTTCAACACGTCAGCGCCTAGCGATTCAGTCATTGTTCCCATGATTCGAAACAAGCAATCCGGAATGCTCTTCTTCCTTGAGCTGACTGGAATCAGTGTTATCGGCCAGCTGCTCCCGATTCCACCCGCAATATTTGAATTGCAGGAGGATGGCAGCGGAGGGGTCCTTCTTGACTCCGGTACCCATGTCACTCGGTTACCCCCTCTAGCTTATGAACTGCTTCGTGATTCATTTGCTCAGAAAGCTGAGAGTTTGCCACCGTACTTTAATGTGTCAAAATTTCTCGAAACTTGCTATGAATTGTCGGGCATGGATATAGTTGATCTCCCGACTGTGGCCTTCCACTTTGCTGGAGATAAAACAGTCAACTTGCTTCCATTGAATTACATGCTACAATATCGTCCGGGAATATTTTGTTTCGCTTTTACGCCATCCGAGGATCAGACAACTATATTGTCAAATACATGGCATCAGAAAATGCGAGTCAATTTCGATATCACTAACTCGGTTGTAGGATTCAGTCCCAATAAATGTTAAAAAGATTTAGATGCGTTAATTATGTAGCTTATCGTACTTGTGTTAGACCATATATTACTGAATTCGACAAAATTTTATGAAGTATGATTTCAAATTCGTATTTTTATGAAGTGAGATGTGGAATTAAAAGTCTTTATCTTAGTGGACAAAATGTTTGATACTTGTTTTAAGTTATTGGGCCTTAATTAAGAAAAAAAAAACAAATTAATTTGAGAACTACGGTTGTAACACTGAAGAAAATGGACTTAATGTTGGGAATCCTGGTTACGAAATTAAGTTTGTGAGGTTTTGCTATGCTGAACTTTATGCTCTTCAGGGTGGGTGAGCTACTCACATAGGGTAAAAAAGACAATGAGTCGAATTTTTGCAGAATACCAGTTGTATGACTTGCCTAATTCATCTTCGGCTAGCTCCGCTCAAAAATCAAATGGAATGGTTGTTGATCAACCACTGAGAGAAGCATGTGAGCAAGTAGAGTGTGGATATATCTAAGTGACATTGAGATTCTTTATAAAATGATTTGACATTTCTTCATTCTACTCTTTTTTACATGTGTAAATGAAGGGGAAAAATCATATAACCTCCTTTACTATCATTTTCGATCAAATTGTCCCCTTTCCGTTCAAACCCGTTAACCTGGCGTTTGGGTAGTAGCACGTGACCAACATGTGCTTATAAAAAAAAAAAAAATTTCCTAAAATACCCCTTCCCTGTCCTCTGTGTTATATTATATATATAACCGTGTGTTGTGTACTATATATATACATAAGCGTGTGTTGTGTACAAAGCTCTGAAGCCTTAAAAGGAAAGGGAAGGGGGAGGCTGCGTTTTGTTGAAGCCCTAAAAGGAAAGGAAATCCTTTTACTGTGTGCAATCGTTCCCTTTTACTGTGTGCAATCGAAGCCCTAAAAGGAAAGAAAAGCAAGTCCAACTTCTTTTTTACTCTCTGCAATCGAAGGGCTAAAAAGAAAGCCCCGTAATCCATCCTCGCATTATTCAACACCATAATTGAAGGTACAAAAATTTATTCTCAATGCATACCATTTACATATATTCATATATTCAAATTCAATTTTGGTAGGATTTGTAATTTTTGGTACAAAAATTTATCTCAAGCATAATATTTATATATATATTCATATATAAAAATTCAATTTTGGTGTGATTTGTAAATTTTAATCACATAATGTTAGCCTCAAGCATTCGATTCTGGTGGTGGTCAAGATTTGAGGTATAAGAATCTTTATTGTGATTGTCGGGAATTGGCTGAAATATTGGTAATAGGGAAGAACGATAAAAATAATTTTGGAAAGCTGGACTATAAATGTCGTAACAAAGAATGTGGATTTTGCAGATGGTGTTATCTAATTTCATCAGAAACCATTCAGAGTGAAGGCAACTTATTTGAGACTTGGCAACATGTTGAAAGGGCATTAGAATATGATATTACTCAGTTGAGGTTGCATGTAGAAGCCATGGAAGAAAAAGTGAAATTTATGATGGTTCTTATTGCAGCCTGTATCATCTTATGTGTTTTTGCTGTGATGTGTTCTTTGTTAAGGAGATAAAGAATTGTTTTGTTTATCTGGTGCTTCTGTTTTATTAAATGGTGGAACTTTTGTTTTTGTATTGTGTTTCATGTTTTATGAATGTAAGAGGTGGAATGAAATGGTTGCACTATGTTGTAATTGAACCATTTACATTGAATATGGCATTGTTCCATTCACATTGCAAATGGCATTGTTTCATTCACATTGTTTTTACTTGCTTAAAATGGAATGAAATGGTTGCACTATGTAGTAATTGAACCATTTACATTGAATATGGCATTGTTCCATTCACATTGCAAATGGCATTGTTTCATTCACATTGCAATAACCTGCTTAAAAAGCACAATATGATAATAACATTGCATTCCATCCACATTGCAATAATCTGCTCTGCATTACATCCACATTGCAATAACATGCTCAAAAGGACAATATGATAATAACATTGCATTCCATTCACATTGCAATAACCTGCTGCTCAAGAGGACAATATGATAATAACATTGCATTCTATCTACATTGCAATAACCTGCTGCTCAAAAGGACTATGCATCATACAAAAATAACATAATCCATTGCAAAGTTACAACCATCATCTATTCGAAAGTTACATCCACCTATGAGGTCCACAAAAATAACATCATCCATTGCAAATTTACAACCATCTATGAGGTCCATAAAAATAACATCATCAATTACTGTGATACCCCTCGACTCCGAGACATGGGTTGATCAGACCCAAGCGCAAACCCAAGGGAATATCAAACAATTAATATATAAACAAGCAAGAATACGAAAAGATTTAAGAAACAAATAATAAAGCTGAAAGAATTAATAATATAAAATCCTCAAACCTTAAATATTAACATAATCTAAACTGCCCAAAACCTCCAAGAGTACAACTCGGGAATCCATCTAGTGGACCCCTGACCAAAAATCCCAACTGGACTAAATAACTGGAAATAAAATCCAATCTAAAACATAAAGAGAAATCCTACGTAATCGGAGGAATGAATGAATGTCTCTGCTCAGCATGATCAAGCTCTAAGGCTAGAACTATCGAATACCTGAAACAAAAAGAGTGGGTCAGACCCACAAACAAGTTCTATTCTAACTGCAATCTATACAGTGACCCGATACGCAGATACATTCTAGATATCACAGTAATATCTATCTAGTCCATAAATATATACATATATCCACACTAAGGGACATTCACTGGACTATAAAGGGGTCTCAACCTGAATATAAGGTAATATGCAAAACGCACCAGAGGTGGGCATGAGTACCTAGACCTAACAGGGTACACCTCAACCGTCATAACCAGCTATGCACCCCAATGCTTATACGCTCCCTAACCAATGATCCTAAGACTCAAGCTTATATCGTGGTACCATAGTCATATATTTAAAGTCCATCCAAAACCAGAGTATGTCAGTCAATTGTTCATTGATCTAACATACAATTTATAATCCAGTTAGTCACTCAACTTATTCAGTTGATCTGACTTAACCACAAATAGCAATTAATCCAGGTAGTCACTCAATTTACTCAGTTGATCTGACTTAAATATAAGTAGGATTCAATATCTTACAATCCATTCCCTTATTCCAATAAGGTAGGTCTTAGCGTGTTGAGCTAAATAGTAATCCATGTAATTGCATAATAGAGTTTAATATTCCATGTAATTGCAGAATAGAGTTTAATATTTCAGCAATTAAAATTCAGAGAATGCATAGATCAAGTCTGATAAATAAGTGACCTTATTATGCATCCGAAACCAGGTTTAAAATCATGCTACAGTTCGTTAAATTGTTAAAACAAAATTAAATAATTTAATCATTTCCATCCGTTAACAGCATGCAAGATTGTTTAAACTTCCCTACTGTTAAAACCATTAACATAAAAACATTAATTCTGTAGTGTGGGTTCTATTACAGCATAATGTAATGTTTAGAGCCCATGCTACAGTCCATTAAATTGTTAAAACAAAATTAAATAATTTAATCCTTTCTATCTGTTAACAGCATGCAAAGTTGCTTAATTTCATATTGTTCGTTTTATTAGCAATATGGAACAAATTATGCAATTAGAGGGTTTAATATCCCATGAAATTACATTTAGAACCCTCAGTACTTTCCCCAAAACAGTTCCAAAATACAAAACACGTTCGAACAATGCCCAGAAAAATTCCAGATTGCACTAATATAATAGAGCCTGCTCTCAGAACTTGAGAACAGGCTCCATTAAGGATGGAGCCGGCTTCTTGCCTCTTAGAGCCGGATCTAGAGGGGTGGGAGCCGGATCTACATCCCCTAGAGCCGGCTCTTTACTTAGGGCAGCTGGCTCCCTCTTCCATGGAGCCGGCTCTCTCCCTCTTTGAGAGCCCTGAACCTTCTCTGGCTTTCTGCTTCGTTTTCGGCCACTTCCAACCCTTCCGTTCTTCAAAAATATTGATCTTCACAGTTTAAATTTTACCAAGTAGCATCCCAATCATTTATTTACCATAGTTAGAATTAACAACGACGCAAAAACCAATTACCGATTCATTATGCTTTACAAACAGACAATGAACTCCAAACTTGCAAGAACTATTACAGATTAAATTAGACACATACAGACGAGCAATTTAATATATATTAAGCATGCAAGATTCAGTTATTATGCGATTAAGATCTTAGAGATCATCTAGGTATGCACTGAACACAGGTCAAGGGGAGAGAGAAAGAATAAAACTTATCTGAGATTTTGAATCAAAATCTCGTCGCTGTCTTCCTAAGTTTTCCGATGACGTCTGTTCACTGTCAACCTCCTACTGCTCAACCTTTCTTCCTCCTAGGTCCGTCCTTTAATCCACAGCCGAAACCCGAACTGAAATCTCTCTGTTTTTCTCACAATTCCCTTTCTGTTTCTCTCTATATCTCTGTAAGTGAAATAGGGTTCTACCTCTATGCAGACTTATAACAATATATTTATAGGCACAAATAAAACCTAAGTCCAATTTTTAATCAAAGACGGAATACCTAATTAACTTCTAGTCGGCCAATACGTGATATAACAAAATAAAACCTTATTTTTACATTAATAATTAAAACAATTAATTACCTACCACATAAGCGTATTATACAGAAAAACCAATAACTAAAACAAAACCCAATTAACTACAAATAAGGAAACAAATAATTCAAGTAAATATAACAAACAAAACAACAATTAATTCAATTACATAAGACAATTAATCAATTAATGAAACAACAATTAATTAAAAATAAATAAACAGGCAAATAAACAAATAAAATGCAATAAAATAATTATTAAAAATGCCGAGACTATCATTTTACAATTAGGGGTATTACAATTACAAAGTTACAGCCATTACTTTAAGATCCTTATACAAATATTACATCAATCAATAAAGAGGTCCATAAACAAAAAAATATGAGGTCTATCTTGCAAAAATATTGAGGTTCACTTGCAAGTATGAGTTTAAGATCCATCAACCTGCAAAAAAATTAAAGGTAGCCATTAGATGATGTTTCATCAACAACAACCTAAAAAAA